GAAGATGCCGGCCACAGAGACTGGCAAAACGTTAGGAAGAACAACCTTCAGAACATGGCCAAAGAGCCCGAAAAACCCACAACTATTCATGGATTGTTAGTGTAATAAAGCTTTGAGCTTACTCCTTACTGAATTACAGATGCATTACTTTGTAGTTTTTGAAGATCAGCTGTCCCTGGTTTCTGCTCTAAGATTTCTAACTCAAATATGTGAGAGCTTCAGTCTGTGCAATATTGCCATTTTTAAGGATAATTGTTTAACTCATTATAAAGCCTTGGAGTGTTAAACCTTGCCTTTGTTATAGTAGTTCATTTGAGACCATTCCTTGAACATCCCATGCATCACAAAAACCCTACATACATATATCACTATACAGTTAAATATGCAGTCTTTTGGGCTAAACTATTCTGAGAGTCTTCTCTTGACTTCTGTCTCTCAGTGTACCTTACAGGTTTCATCCTGAGTAAAGTGCAGCATTACCACTTAAAAAGTGGGAAGATGCACACAGTGAAGAGATTGTGTGTGCCAGTGGTATAATTTATCTGGTGACAGTCCTTTATTTGTGTTATAGGGAGAAGTATTGGCTGAAATCTTGTTGCTTAGTGTAACTAAGTCACAGTAAAGTTGGCCCATTGAATCAGTGGGAATTTGATGAGGCAAATCCTCCATAAGCTTCATTGATTCAATGACGTACTCTTAACTGCAGCTAACTTTAGTTTGGTAAATCACAACTAGAGTAGGCTAATTTGAGTCAAACAAGTTTATCAAGGAGTTTACTCATCAGATCTCCACTGATTCAGTTGTGCGTTTTCTAGTGCAAATTATTGGGGTAAGCCATAAAATTTGAGCCATTGAGTTTCTACAGTATATTGAATATGTAACAATTTGTATTCTTGTTATTGCAGAAAACAAACTCTCAGTTTGCTTTGCAGATATAGCTGTAGCAATTCCTAATGAAAGCAAGCAAAACTTTAGGATTGACAAGTCTGTCATTTTGATTCTTATGTGTCAACAAGAAACATCATTTATTCCAAGCCACTTTTGCTACTTGAGCGACAAAACTGTATTTAAAAAAAAGGTGCCAAAATTCTTTCTGACACATTTTTGTAATTGTTGCATTGTCAGTCTCCTGTTCTGGGTAGAAGATTCTTGTTGATAATTAACCCAAATCTGTCTCTCTGCAACTTAAGCCTTTTGGCTTGTGCTCTGTAATCATGACAACTAATTAGTTTTTGTATTCCTTGTAGTGGTATTTTACAAAAAAGCTCCTAAGAAATACATACATACTACAAAATAACCACCACTGCGCATGGAAACATCAGATAGAGAAGGTGTCAGAAAATGACAAAGTCAAGATCTTGTGGAATTTCTGGAACCAAAGTAATAAACACCTTGAACATAACACACCAGACACAGTAGTAATAGAACAGAGAAGTGTCTGGATAATAGACATTGCAATTCCAGGGGATGCCAAAGTTGAAGATAAGGAACTGGAAAACTATCAAAAAGAGACCTGGCAATTGAAATATCCTGCTTGTGGATGAAATACACTTCAGCAGTCCCCATAGTCATTGGGGCTTTTGGAACAATATCAAGAAATTTCACACAGTTTTATAAGCAGTTGCAGATTTCAGAAATAACATCAGTGCTATAAAAAAAGCAATGTTAGGAACAGCATGTATAGTACATCAATATTTAAGAGATACTTCTGTGTGGAGGTTCTTTTTCCTTTTTTCCCCTTCTTTTGGCTTTCTGGAAGTGACACATCATAGTTAAAATCAATTTCTTGTGGAAGCAGCAGCAACTATGCATTTCTTTTTTCATAAAAAAATAATTCTGGTCATCCCTTCTCAAAAAGTAATGGCTTCTTTCTCCCCCAAAGCACCTATTTTTCATACATACTGTACATACACATACATGCTAACTTTAATATCCTACTCCAAAAAGCCAAGGAAGAAATTATTTGACAAGAGCTATAATGCATAAAAAATGACCCATGACTGACCAGAAAATACTTTATGACCCCCTTGGGGGGGTCACAGCTCTCAGGTTGGGAATCACCGTTATAGAAGGTTTAAACTGCAACCAATTATGCACAACTTGGAATTAATCTTAGTAAACATGGTGAGGCTTCGTTCTCAGCAAAACCTGGAGATAACTAGTGAAAAATAATGAGTTACTTGCATTTAATTCTTCTTACAATAACTAAGGTACAAGCAACCTGCATTCTGATTGTAACGTAGAAAGGGACAACTTCATTTCTTTTGTACTGTAGTCTAGTGTAGTTGTGATTACTTTTAATTTTTTTATAGTTATAATGTATAGGTGGCCTCACTACTTTCATGTATTTTATGTCCTTGACCAACAGGTTGTATCAATATTTTCCAAAGCAAAAAAGTAAATCTTTTGGTTACTTTTGAATAAAGACAAGGAGTTACTTTTAAAAATAATTTGTAAGTTCTCATTCTAAGGAGGCCTACTTGGGACTGGATTGTAACTGGTATATGTATCATTAATTATTCTGAATTGTGCCTTCCACTGTAATTTTTTTATTGACAGATTAAAATGGAATATTATTTTTGCTAGTACAATTCTTGTGTGTAAACCAGTTGCAAAATGTGACTTGGCCAATGAAGCCATTTCCTCACAGAGCCACAAAATTCCAAGGGGAAATATGGGCCTTCAAAAATAGTCTAAAGAAGAAACATAAACTTTTATTGTATGTAATATGCTATTGTGAAGAGGGCTGACTAAGAGGCAGTATGCTATCAAATCCATCACTGTTGTTTTTCTTCAGCACCTGTAAACCACCTGTAATTTTCTAAGCATTATACAGACAAAGATAAGGTGATCCTTGCCCACAGGATCACAGTTCAGCAGACAGAATACAAAAGGAAGAAACAAAGGCAGGAGAAAGGATGACAGAATGCATTGGAGCAGCAGGTCCTTCTGGTTCCAAATGTGTCTTGATTCCAAAAGAGTTTTTCCCCTCCTTCTTTTTCCCCTCAAATGGAAAGGTAGCACAAGTTACCTACAACTGCTGCTTTATTTGCTGAAATCAGGGCCTTGTTAGCCTTCCCCATTTCCTGCTCTGATTATTTCTGTGTTAAAGGCAGGGCAACCGTAATTTCAAAATAACCATTTTGGAGACAAAGTACCTCTTTAGTAAGTGTAGGCATTATCTTTAGAAGAAGAACAATCCTTTTTTTAAGATGATGCCTTCAAACTATGGGTTTACGAGTACTTTGGTTTAATATATGGAAAATCTGCTGCCTGATTAAGCTAGTACATTGCTAGCATATATTCATTAATGAGCTTTATCCAGGATCACCATCTGTGCTCCTCATGCCCATAAGGAATATTTCACTATATAGTCCAGTTCTGGAAATGCTGACACGATGGGCAGAGCGATATGGAAAATGGGGGAAAGAATGGGATACACAGTCTACTGCTACTATGTGATTCTGAACACACTTAGTTCCCACCAGAGGATAACTTGAGATCTCCAGGTAGGACGAGGAAAAAAATCCTTCCTGAAACCTTGGCGACCTGCTGCCAGTCACAGTTGGCGATACTGGGTTAGATGTACTCAATATAAGGCAGCTTCCTTTGTTTCTACATTTGTGTTGAACCAGGCAGTATTGGGCAGTTAGGAGGAATACAAAGCTTAAAGGTTTTCACCGGGCAATACCAAATGCAATGTGCTCACTTGTTTACTTTTTCTTCTTTCTTCTGTCCTGCCTCCCAGGCCTGTATCAT